ATAAATACTAAAATAAATATAACGTCGCTACTTCGCAGTTTTTCACTTATTGCGGGTGGTGGTGGAACGGAACCCCCGCGATAAACGAGGGACTTCTGTAATGACAAACAAATAGTAATAAGGGAGCTTCCGCGCTCATGTATCAGCACCCTTGGTTACAGAAAGTTTTATTACTTTTATTACAACTCGTTTAGACTACTGTAATTCACTTTATGTGGGTCTGAGCCTGTCAGTATTGACTCGACGTCAGCTGGTTCAGAATGCTGCTGCTCGCCTTCCAGCACCAACACCGGTACCAAAAAACGAGAGCACATCATCACTGTTTTAGAATCACAACATTGGCTCCCAGTCTGTTTCCGGATTCATTTTAAGTTTTTTTTTTTATTTGTTTTTAAATGACTTCATGGTCTTGAGAGGTGACCGGGCATTTTCAGTCGCTGCCCATAAACTGTGGAACAAGCTGCCTTTGCATATCACAGGCTGACTCACTTCCTGTTTTGAAATCTTCTCTTAAAAACACATTTTTTTGTCCTTTTTGGCTTCAAACTCAGCTGAAATGTTGTTTTTAATGTTTATTTAATTATTTATTTTGATTTTTTTTTTTTGTTTGAACTGTTTGCTCTTTTTACGATTGTAACGGTTCATTACTTTTACTGTTTCAATTGATTTTATAGCTTTTATGCTTGCTTTTATATGTTATCAGTGTATGGTACTTTGGCCAACTGTGTTGTTTTTAAAGTGCTTTATAAATAAAGTTGTAGTATATTGTATTGAATTGTTATAAATGACAACAACATGATCCACGTTACAAATATTTGTAACATAATAATGTTATTACATTTTACCCCTTCGTTGTTTCAGTTTTTGATAATAAAAAATGATATGAAATAAACCATAATTTTGCTATGTTGTATAAAACGTAAGCTTACCCTGAGGCTTGTACAAGTACTGTTTATTGGTCAGAGTATTTATGGCTAACATGATTATATTTGGATTTTTTTTTTACTTTTGCCTCATATTGTTTGTTTTTTGTGTTCTAACATATTTTTGCAGTGACTCAGACATTAAGAACAACAAACACATCAGTAGGACAGGGGAGGGGACCATTTGCCAGCATGAATATGACATTTCAGGTGGCGTTAGACGCCATGGCTTCCTGTGACCTCTTACCCGAAGGGCGGTGATGGTCGTTGGGTCTCGGATGCGTCCGTCCTCATCCTTCAAGTTGTAGCCTTCCGGGCGTTTGTCCCTCTCACTGATCTTCCACAGCTTCACAGTCTTGTCTGAGATGAAAACATCACACACAGAGAAAAAAAAAAATTAGATCGTTAATCGTAACAGTGAATCTTCCCTTCAAGATGAGTGTTGGGGGGGGGGGGGGGGGCAGCCAATCTGGCATGTAGCTGGGCAGCAGCCAGTGAGGATGATGAATGGTGGTTCATGTGCAGATTCTGATGTCACTGATATCCGTCTACAAGTTGACTTCATCTCCCGCTGCCGTACACATGCCCACCCCCCGCCCTGAAAAGCCATCTGGGTGCTTTTCAATCCCGTTTCACATAAACACCAGTTACTTCTCATCTCGGTCTACTGAAGTGGATGGCAGCAGCAGTCAGGTTGTTTGGTTTTTTTTACTTTTTAATTTCCTCTGTGAAAGTAGTTGGTGTCAGAGCAACGAGTCCAACGCTACAGGACCCTCCACCATCTGCTCCAGCCACCGCCAGCACTTCTGTAGCCATGCATGAAGCCCACAATCTGCAAGACGTCTCTCTGCTGACGCATGTGTGCCAAACTGAGCTGGTGAGCGTGTAAGTGTGCGGTGGCACACTCTGCGATGAGTGTGTTCCTGCAGCAGCCATGCATGAAGTCCTTAATTTGAAACTCTTCAGCTGGTGGCGCCTGCTCATCCAAGCAGAACAGCCAGACCAAAAAGATGATTTTGGGAATTGGCTTTTATTGACTAAAAAAATAGAACACTTTAAATAGACATGCTGGGGTTATAGATTATTTGTCCTTTATCTCTATTTTGCCATTTGCTGACTTTATTAACTGACCGTTGGTGGAAAGCAGGAAGTATGCAGCGTTCTGCTGAGGCAACCATTTGATCTTGTTGATCTTCTCCTCAATCTCCAAACTCTTCAGGTAATCAAACTCAGGCTCGTGGCTCTGGAATGTGCTGTAAACATTGTACTCCCCTCGGCGATGGGGCTGTGTCTTACTCTGCAGAGGAAAGAGGAAAGAAAAGTCCAGTGTTGTGGATTAGACATGGCCTTATTTAGTGTACCATTTTGGCATTAGTTTAGCGTATATTTTAGTGTATATATTAGATCCTTATATACGGTTTATTTTTTACACTTTATATTTTTGCTTTTGAGGTGTAACTGGGACCCTGAGTAGATAATTTCATTCCACCTCATGTACCACTTGTAATGGGAATGACAATAAACTTGATTTAAACTTGATTTGATGTGAATTTAGTAAAATTATACAACTAAATCCCACTGCAAAGGTAAAAGCTAGATCCTACATTTCAGAATCAAGGTAGACAGTATATTCTAGTGCCCTAACACTTCCACACTAGTGCCCTTCTTCTTCTTTCGGCTTTTCCCTCTTCAGGGGTCTCCACAGCGAGTCATCCTCCTCCATCTCACTCTGTCCTCTGCATCCTCTGTCCTCACTCCAACTACCTTCATGTCCTCTCTAACTGCATCCATATACTGTATTTCCTCTTTGTCTCTTTCCTGGCAGCTGCATTTCTAACATCTTTCTACCAGTATACCCACTGTCCCTCCTCTGGACAGGTCCAAACCATCTCAGTCTGGCCTCTCTAACTTTATCTCCCAGTTGTTCAACTTGTGCTGAACCTCTGATGATCTCATTCCTAATCTTATCCAGCCTTGTCACTCCTAAGGAGAACCTCAACATCTTCATTTCTTCCACTTCTAGTTCTTCCTCTTGTCTTTTTGTCCATGCCACTGTTTCCAGACCATACAACATAGCTGGTCTCACCACTGTCTTGTAAACTTTTCCTTTGACCTTTGCTGACACCCTTTTGTTACAAATCACTCCTGAAACTTTTCTCCATCCACTCCATCCTGCCGGAACTCTCTTCTTCACCTCTTTACCACATTCTCCATTTTCCTGGACAGTGGACCCCAAGTACTTGAAGTCCTACACCTTTGTGACCTCTGCTCCTCGTAGCCTCACTGTTCCACCAGCCTCCCTCTCATTCACACACATGTACTCTGTCTTACTACGGTTGACTTTCATTCCTCTTCTTTCAAGTGCATACCTCCACCTCTCCAAGTTCTCTTCCACCTGTTCCCTGTTCTCACCACAGATCACATTGTCATAGGCAAACACCATAATTCACAAGGAATCCTGCCTGACCTCATCTATTAGTTGTTCCATCACCAGAACTAACAAGAAGGGGCTCAGAGCCGATCCTTGATTCAATCCCACCTCCACCTTGATGCTATCTGTCACTCCTATAGCACATCTCACCACTGTCCTACTGTCCTCATATATGACCTGCAGCAGTCTAATATACTTTTCTGCCGCTCCAGATTTCCTCTCTCCCAGATCTTCATTGTGTGGCTCATTAATTTAATTCCCCTGTAGTTGCTACAACTCTGTATATCACCCTTGTTCTTAAAAATGGCACCAGCACACTTGTTCTCCATTCCTCAGGCATCTTCTCACCCTCAAATATGCCATTGAATATTTGAGTCAAAAACCTGACTGCCATCTCTCCAAGACATTTCCAAACCTCCACTGGTATGTCATCAGGTCCTACTGCCTCCCCCTTCTTCATTATTTTCAGAGCTTTCCAGACTTCGCCCTCACTAATCTTTTCCACTTCTCACCCTCCTTAGTGTTCAGTCTCACATACAACTCATCACATCAACTCATTATACACCTTCTGCTTTGCCTTTGCTACCTCCCTCTTTGCTCTACATTGCATATCCTTATATTCCTGTCTCCTCTCTTCCATCCTCTCACTGTCATATTTCTTCCTAGCTAACCTCTTTCTTTGAACGGCGTCCTGCATGTCACTATTCCATCACCAGGTTTCCTTATCATCCATTCTCTGTCCAGATGACACACCAAGTACCTTCCTACCTGTTTCTCTAATTACTGTTGCTGTAGTAGCCCAGTCATTTGGAAGCTCTTTCTTAAGACCAAGAGCTTTTAACAGCTCCTCTCTGAATTTCTCACAACATTCTTCCTTTTTCATCTTCCACCATTTGGTCTTCTTTGATTTTACTCTTTTCCTCTTTTTCACAACAGTCATGCTACACACAACCATCCGATGCTGTCAGGCCTCGCTCTCCCCTTTCACAACCTTACAGTCCCCAATCTTCCTAAGGTTTCCTCTTCTACATAGAACGATATTTTTTTAATCATAAATAAAAAAAAATTCAAATTGCTGAGGAATATTTTGCACACATTTAAACATAATTTCTTCCATTTACGATCAATTCAGTCATTTTGCACATTTTTCCATATAGTTTCCAACTGAATGTCTAGGCAATTCTTCATTTCCAAAATCGCTTCTTATCTCAAAACTGTTGTACCCAAATGTTTTTCAAATGCTTCCAGAAGAAAGAGCGGCATAATTCGTATTGAATTGTTGGCATTTCTTACCTCCTGCTCCCTCTGAAAGACAACCACTCTTCCTCCTTTATCCCCGGTGGCCAACAGCTCCCCCGTTGAGTTAAACTCCACCGTCGAGATAATGTCAGCTACAACACAGGAGACAGAGCAGAGAGAGAGAGAGAAAATGTCAATGTGGACATGAACAAACCTGGTAAAGTAAAAAAAGAAGAAAAAACAAAACACAGAGGAGTGACTTGATAAGTGAGCAGAACCAACCCACAGAGGAATATTCGGCACAGATACCCAGTTTGGTGAAATATGTGTTAGGAGAAACAACTGGGCAAGTCACTGCATGAATGAAGATAAACTATTTCATTTTAATTTTAGTCCTGCTTATTTGAAATGTAACTAAAGAGATATTCATCTCGCCACAACCATCTTAGAACCCATGCTGCTTTGCTCCATCATAAACCACATGCACATTGTTGTAGCTTATGTTTCAGTCTTTTTTTTGTGTGTGTGTCTTTCAGGATAGTTTCACTAAAAAGTAAATACTAGACACCTACCCTGAAGGGAGCTTCTCCTCTCCTCCTCTAAGACATACATCTGCCTGGATTTAGGTGAGGCTAATGGTGACTGTAATTATTATACAGCCCTGGGCTAAAAAGGCAGAGCATTATGCCTGGATCTTTCTCACTCTCTCACACACACACACACAGCCGAGGCTAGCCCCTCAGTTTTGCAGTGACAATAATATTAGCCAAAAAAGAGAGTGCTTGTTGTTTTGCTCCCCCACACCCACCACCACCACCTCACCCTCTGTGGACCTGCTGCTGGCGAAGCTGTGAACAGGAGAGGAGAATGTTGCTATGGAGACAGTTTCCATCTCGGCAGTTAGAGTATATACGTATGTGTGTGTGCCAATAGCTTGCAGACTTTAGTTGCTGATGCTAGCTGTAATTCAACCGACAGACAGAGAGAAAGTGCTGCAATGGAGTGAAAACCTGCTCCTGCATCTGTGGGGGGATGAGCGCGGCTCAGTGCAGTGCACAACTTCACACAATAGAGTCAGTCAGGCTCGTCTCTTTATATAAAGCTCTACCGCAAGATGTTAATGACTATGTTGTATCTTTGTATATGTGTGTGTGCGTGTGTCATCTTGTTGGATTTAATTGTTAGAGAGACAATCACATCCTACAGACGAGGCCAGAGGGATTTTAATAGCCCTCAGTTAATAATAACATGAGGTAAAAGCCAATTCTAATCAAATTTGATTAAAGAAACTAATAATCTTTAGCATGCATTCAAGACAAGGTCTGACCTAATTACAGCCTGGGAGAATAACTGTGACATCACAGTGTTGTGCCATGCTCTCTTGCACATGTAAATGCTTGGAGAGGGGGAAAAAAAAAATACCTGTGCATGCACGACAAAAAAACACACAACAGCGCCTTCTTTCCAAACACCATCAGGCTGAAGCTACTGGTGGGAATCAGGTTAGTTAAATCAAAGCTGTCTCTTTCCTTTCCTCATCATCGACACATCAAGTCACTGAGAGGAAACGGTAACTGATGGATGCCATTTAACAAGTTTACACGTGGGCTCATCGTTCATTCGTTTCTCCATCAGCGAAACTCGCAGTAAAATCACTGAACGCTTCCGCAGAAGAGTTTTTCTGCATGCAAATGAATTCAAACGAGACAAGGCAATAAATTCAACGTCAGCCACTGATGGAATTCAGTTTAAATGGCAACATTTTTTAAAATTACATTTTTTGGGGGGTATACAGTACTCTGGTTCGAAGATGAGTGAGAGCCACTTCTAGAAAGAGCTTCATTCTGTGAGTTTCAGAAGGGTCAAGATGGACATGAAAAAGCAGCAGCCGTGAGATCAGTTGATCAAATGTGTACTTACACACAGCGTCCATATCTCTCTCTCTCTCTCGCACACACACACACACACACACACACTCACTCACACACAGCTTCATCAGCAGACCGTAACCAGATTAAGCCCATAAATCCTGTGGCCAGCCAGGTCTAACAAAGACAGGTCAGCGATTCTTGATGCGTCAGAGGGATGTTTCAGATAGGACACATCCATCAACAGTAATAATGCAGACAGGGCTGTTGGTCTGCTGCTGTAATGCACGCGTGTACAACTGAATTAAAACAGGCAGGGTACAGGGATACAATGGTACCAGTCTGATCCTCCCCCCTTCAGCGTTGCTATATTGGCCGTCAGTAGCTGGATGGAAACATAGATACGCATTGATTCTGGAATGAAAACCATGTGCGAGGCACTCAAACATATTGAATATTGTTAGCAATGCCTGAGCGTGGCACATCAGGAAAAACAGAACAGAAAGAGACACAAAAAAGAACAACAAGGAAGAGAAAAAGGTGCAGAGGAAAGGTTTAATAATCTTGCTTTGGTGCAGAAAGAAAGCAACAAAACAAACCGAGCCTTGATCCAGTAGAAGCGGTAGACCATACAAACCCCAAAAGGGCGCATGGAAAACTAGCTGTACAAGTTGTGTGCAATAATTTTAGGTTGATGGCGAGCAGCATGGTGGCACGTAGTTTTGTTAAATATGGTAGAGGAGAGGATTATGTCACTTGTGCTGAGCTGCCTGCGTCAAAGGATCAGGCCGGTGGATAAATCCAGTCTGTTCTTGCACTCTCTTTCCCCTGCTCTTATTGTTCTATCGTTCCTCATTTCTTTTCTTTCGAGAAAATGAGCTCACATGAGCAAAAAAAAATCCCACTCATCGAGACACAAAGATGATTTCTGAGCTGATAACGACTTCATTTTACACCAGTAACAATAGGGATCAATCAGAAATTTGACTGAACCTTACCAACCTGGTAACCAGACATATGATTAAGGCTTTATTTGGGCTTTATTAGCTGCACACAAAGCAACAGAGCACAATGCAGCTCCTTTCATCTGAAGAGCTCCACTCTGTAAGATCTGGAGAGAACAAGCTAATTAACCTGGTTTCTCCAGGAGCAGCCTTTTGAGACCGCCATTGTGTGCGTGTGCGTGCATGAGGTGGTTTTTCAATGCAAGTGAATGTGTTTGCGTGTGATTTTTTTCTTCTTCTTGTTTTGTCAATCTCAAGGGAGGTAAAGGCAAAATGGGCGAGACGTGTTACCACTCCTCTTCTCACACTTCATTAACACGTCGTTGTGGCACACATCTGACTGCAGACATAACACGGGACAAGACGGAGCAGAAAAAGACGCGGGAGTGCTGAACACCGAGAGGCATCATTTGAAATGCTTTGTTATTTGGGATTCCGTCAGAAATTGAAAACATAGAAAAAAATGCAGGAGTGGTGGTGGTGGTGGGGGGGTGTAGGGAGTCAAGGATGTGTAGAATTAGGAGCTGATATTCAGTGTCTATCTGTCTGGCTGTGTTGCTTTGATGCAATCCCTTTCATCTTGTTGTTTTCCAGACTGAATTGATGATTAGATGTCTGCCTGACTGAAATTTTGTATTTATTCTGGAAACATGAAAGATTGTGAGGGGCATCACTTCTTCGGCAAGACACGGGGCTGATGTACCCAAACTTACAAATGCATCCCGTCGCAAAGCTCGGAAAGGTCAAACACTGCTTAGCCTTCGAGCTGTAAATGATTTAGACACACGACAAGACGTGAGGAGCCACAGAACGGTTGAGAAATGGAATATTTTCGTACAGTGGCAACACAACAGACCATCTTTAATAAACCCTCATTAAATTTTCATGGTGCCTCCGCCTTAATGGGAAGCTAATCAGGGGATGAAAGAGGTTGCTGAAGAAAAGAGTGTGACTCGCCCCAACTTCACAGCTTGCCATTAAGTCCATACCACCACCACCCCACCCCCATGCACGCACATACACATTATCTTTCCGGGGCTGCAAGGCGAGGCGGGGGCTCTGGGATGTGAGTGTTTCGTGGTGAATAATGGATGGGACCTGAGGGGATGCTGGGCTAAGTCTTTTCATGCCGCGGTCCTAAAGTGTGGCCTCGGGCCGTTTGCACTGGCACAGGCGACCAGGCACAGCTCTGCTGTCGTCGGAGGCAATAAAGGCTGCGAGCACGCCGTTACGGGACTCCATCAGCATTCGGTGGGGCTGAAGAGGTCACACACACACAGCCTTGTACTCGTATCAGAGAGATGTAAAACAGAAAAGCCAAGAGATGGAGGGTGAAATAAAAGAGGGTGGAGAAAGGGTGGAAAGGATTACATGCCCCACCAATAGATCTATAGGGTCAGTGTTCCGGTGACAAAATTGTAAAAGACCAGAAATCAATACCAAAGCAGACATTACGTTACGTCCTGTCTCTCTGTAAGAAAGCCATTTACATTTTTAAACCAATTGTGCTGCTATTTGAGACCAACATCTATTATCTAAAGCTGGAGATTATGAAAATGAGCCGAGGTTCACCGCTACACAAATCAACCATCCCATCAACACGAGAAAGCAAATGTTTGTCTATAGGCGGTTGCTGAATGCAAATAAAAGCGTAATGTTCCTCCTAAGAGACAATAACGATGTTGCTGGAATCTTTCCTTTGACATTAAAGAGACTTTCATCTTGTATCCAACTATGGATGACCGGCTCACATTAGCATGCACTCACAGAGTCATGGTAGCCACCAACGGAGCCGCCGAGGCGTGGGATTGGTGCGAGACAAAGGTCAGCGTGAGTGACATCATTAAAACGTTCTGATGCTGTGGGCGAGCACGGACGAAAGGGGAGCCCCAACCAGCTCACCCCCCAACACAGGTCTGTGTTCACTGAATGTGTGTGTGTGGTCTGAACAGACTGAGCCTGATGGAGCATGTGCACTTTGGTGAATTTATGAGGTAGACCCCAACACAGAGCTGTGTGATCTTTGATTGCAACACCACCACCCCCCCCCCCCCACACACACACACATCTATCTTTCTGACTTTAAAGGAACTTGGCATTGACTTCCAGGGATGCACGATACATGTATTATCGGCATGGTATCGGTATCGGCCGATATTAGCGTTAAAGTTAAATATCGGACATCAGCCATTCCATCAAAATAACTCACTGATATAAAAGACGCTGTTTTTGTGTGACAACCCAGAGACAAGGATGTCTGCAGCGCCAACACAACGCGATGATGTCATGCGCACCTACCTGATCTCACGGCAGAGACAAAGACGTCAAAATGTCGGTGGTGTGGAAGTTTTTTTTGTTGTTGAGGATGTCAGATTCTGAAGATTTCTGGACTACGTTGAGCCTCGCTACGTTGTCCCCAATCTGAGAAATTTTTCCAACATAGCCTTATGCGAGTTACAAGCTGTCATTTTCGACGTCATTGAGAAGCTAATAGTCGATAGCACTTGGGTGAGTTTTACCACAGACATTTGGACGTCGTGTTAGCATGATTAGTCTTATGGCACAATGGATAGACAAAAACTTTGAACTTAAAAAGGTTCTCCTTCATGCACAAGAGTGCAGAGGATCCCACACTGCAGCTAGGAACCTGGAACAAGCCTCCACAAGTGAGACAGGTGACTAATGCTAATAAATAACATCTAACACTTTTCATTCAATATAAGTTCAATGTTTCCCCTGGTTAACTTGCCATGACGGGGTGCTCATCTCATCCATGAATTTTGTTGATGGGGGGGGGGGGGGGTT